GGATATTGTCAACCGGATCCTTACTGTGGTCATCAAATCGATCAAACCCTTATGACAATCGCTCAAGAATGCTACCTCAATGATGATTTGGATTGTTCTCGACAGAGTTCCAATAAAAGTGATGTCAAAAAGATCTTGGAAAATGGGGTACTCATACGTAAATCGAAGCGTTTCATGACAAGAAGTATAAAATAAACTTATCAAAAATTCAAAAAAGAGAACCCTAATGCAAAAAATGGGCATTTCTAAATTGTTCATGCTCCGTCCAAAATGGGTTTCATTAAATTCACCTCAGGAAGATTGTCTCTGCATTTATTGCGCTAATTTTGATTTATTGCTGGCTGCTTTGAAACCGTACCAAGCGCGTTATGAAACTACCGTGTCGCAGATTCGCGAAAAAATATTGGCATCTATAGTTTGCTCAAAAGACGAAAAAAACTGCGTTTTATTTACAGGAATGTAAGAATTGTCCGGGACTTCAAGTCATCACAATGGATCTTCTTGGATTTTCCGACGACTTCGCTGAAGAAGATGAAATTAATTACGCGGTGTGGGAAGACTCTAATATAATTAAAAAAACAACATCGATAAAAAAATATCTAAAATATTTGGTGGAGTGGACAATGAAAACAAGTTCTCATTTGTGCTTGAAAGAAATCCAACAAAAAGGTATCCGGAATGAAAAAGTAAACTCTAAATTAAGGTTGGACCATCTAATTATTTACGTTGATTTCGCTGAAAATTGGTCGGTGTTTTTGACAGACGAAATTCAAGGCCATCATTGGAAAAACGACCAGGTCTCAATTTTTACAGCAGTTTGCTATTATCAAGAATATACACTGAGTTTGGCAGTCGTTAGCTATGATCGTACACATGATTCAGCACACGCTCTTATGGCCATTGACACAATTATTCAAAAGGTCCATCAAAAGTATCCTAACGGAATTTTTAAAGATACAACCATCATTTCTGATGAAGCTCCCAGCCATTTCAAGAACAAATATCAATTCGCTGAATTCATAAAATCCCTATGCGCGAAAAAGTGGATTTTTTCTGCCTCAGGACATGGCAAAGGGGCTTGTGATGAAGTGGGAGGAGTCATCAAGCATTATGCTTCCAATCACAACCTCCGAAAACATCTACTGGAATGCATTCAAGATGCGAAAACACTAGTTGAGAAAGTTCAACCATATGTTCCGAAAGTGGAGTTGTGTTTACTGGATGCCCAAGATCTGCAAATATTTCGAAATAAAAAAAAGAAGAATGGAGGAAAACGAAGGCATTCAAAGGAATTCATGTTTTGAAAAATGAGACAGTAGAAGAGAGTCACGGAAAAACTTTTACGGCTCGAACATGCGAACATGAATTGGTAATTTTTAAGTAACAGTTGTAATAGAACGTGAAATGCATTGTCAAATAATAATAATAATAATAGGTTTATGTGCGGGACAAGATTTTTGTCTTTATAGCTATTTACTCAACACTTGCAGGAGGAGAATGATTGCAAAATTCGCTTTAGGCTCGTTTTACAAACAGAACGTTCGATAAATAAGCATTCCCGCAAATGTTGAGTACAATATTTCACATTACGACGTATTAAAAGTAAAAATTTTGGACCATGAAGCGTGCCGAAAGTACCTACTTTCGACACTACTGATGTAAAATTCATTAATGTATGAGATAGGTTGGATTTGACATAAAAAATCATAACTCGAAAACGGCGAATTTTAGCATATTGATACTCGTACTGAAAATAGTGTATACTATTCCCTAATAGACAAAAAAGTTAGAGAAAAAAAATGTGGCAATTTGAAAAAAAAATTGTTGTTTAACAATAATTAATTATTAATAATCTATTTCTGATGTTTAGTTCATTAGATCGTTTCAGTAGATCAATATCTGCAATTTAAAAAAAAAGTGTTAAAATCCTTGCTTTTTTATGGCAGTTATAAGCGATTTCATCAAAAGTTGCTATTAAGAGAGGAAAAGAGAGGCGTTCGTACTCACAAAAGAAAAAGTACATTATTCGAAAAATTCGAATTTCTGAGCAAAAAGAAAAAATACGTGTACTTACATACATAAATTGCTCATTCATTTGCAAATTGTTACTTTAAATATATTTTTCATTCACTCAACAATTATCAATTATATAAATTTTCATCATACATTAAAATTAGTTAGAAGCATATTTGTTAAATAAAACCTGAATTGAAAACGAATTCACATAACTCGCTTCATTTCGCAACATGGTCCTTGCGAGCCAAATGTGAATCAGCAAGTGGCAACTCAACTTCGAAAGTCAAGTTCGAAAGAATATTAGTCGCCTGGCCACACTGCCTGCGACTGTCATTTTTACCTTGGCATTCTTTTTCAAATTGGACGTTGTGGCGAACGGCAGCATTTTCAGCAGACAGTCTTCGCAGCGATAGTTTTTGGAAATAACTATTTTAAATGCATGTCTCCAATACCCACAAGAAAAGTAAGTGGTTCTGATACAAGTGAACCAAGAAACAAAAGTTTACCCGACCTCCGCCTGGCACAAAGGTGAGTCCGATTACTCTGAGGCTGACCACCGTGGGACTCCGTTTTTTTGAAACCCAACGAGGGAACGTACACAGCCACCACAAGGCGCTTACCAACAGTCATCAGCAGCGCCCACCGCTGGACTAAACATTTTGGCCGCCAGCGAAGGAGCACCATATTACCGCCACCCAAACACCTGTAGTGCACCGCTCCCGTATTGGGCGTTTTCCCCAAGGAAAGTATGAGCAGAACCAGACAGCCCAAGTAAGTCCCAGTATCCCGTTGTTTTTTACATTATGTACATACATTTTCACCGTTATTCGACAACGGCATTCATATATATGTATGTATGTATGCTTAATGCTGGATTTACATGGTATGAATCAGTTCATATGCAGTATGAACTTTTTGATAAAAGAGCCACCAACTCTATATAGAAAAGAGTGAGAACGATATATTTATTTCCTATAACTTTGACGTAGACATTTCTTTAGCAATAAACAAATTAAGGCGCTGGCCCAATGCGGGCTTGCTTTGCGCGCCTTGCTGCCTTCAATTTGCTTTGATTTACTTTGAAAACTTGCTTGGCCGAATGGTGGCTTGGAACGCTGTCAAAGTAACCAGCTGTCTGGTTGAAAAGTCAATGTCTGCTCCCTTAACGTTAGTAATTATTTCCTAGAAAACTCTAAAAAATTTATCAAACACTTTCAGATTTATTTTTAGATTAATGCGATATAATGTTTGTATTTAAAAGAAATGATAATAATGATACATACATATCTATATACATTTACTAAAAAAAACTATCAGGCAGGTTCTGCAATTCACTTCCGAGTGAATTTGAACCAAATTCACTTTGAATCCGACATTTGGTGTTCTGTGTTTCACTTTCCGAGTTTCATTTCCACATTTTTTTCCAAAATGAATTCCGAGTGAATTTGGATGTTCTGATAAACGAATCCGCGAAAAAATCTTCGGATTTCATTCACTTCGTTTCAAGTTTGTGGATTTTATGCATACACACAAATTTTGAATTAGCGGTTGTGATCGAGACGAAGATGTGAGTAAATTTAAAATTATTAATGAGATATATTAATAAAAAAACTAATAAGAATAATAGAGTAACAAATTTTACATAAATTAATGGTTTCAGGGGAAAACATAAGAATTCTAAACAGGAGGCGGTCCTTCTTAAATTTATGGAAGACCACAAGGACATTGCACGGGGCTATGTAAAGGGAGACAAAACGAAAGTAGACGCACTGTGGAAGGAGTTAGTCGTCGAACTGAACGAGCATGGTCCTCCCCAAAAGGATGTTTCTGGCTGGAAAAAAGTAAAAAAATATAAAGAAGACGTTCACTTTTTGATGCAAAAATGCGAAACGCAAAAATTAACGTTTGTTTTGTTGCTTTGCTGTGCGTTTGTGCGAAACGACGCCATAACGGTGATATGTGTTTGTTATAAAAAACTGTCGATTTTCCCACTTTCGCTCAAACGCACACAGTTTCGCATCAAAGAGTGAACTCTAGTATACTAATTGGCTATACAAAATATTTTGTAATCGAAATATAACAGGTTTGGATGGATTGGAAGGCCTTCATCAGGAAAAAAGTAGCGCACAATAACTCGGAAGCCAGAGCAACTAGTGGAGGACCATTTAACAAGCATGTCCTTACACCAACAGAAGATGCTATAGCCCAAATGTGCGGAATTTACACTGTGGTGGAGGGCATTTCAGGCACACAAGACTTTGGTGTGTCTTCTGAAAGAAACCAGGAGGCAACCTCCGAAAGCTCCGACGAAGATGCTGTGCCATCCACAAGCCGTGCAGCTATAGCAGCGCGATCCCGTCGACGGGAACCTATGGTGACTGATGCTCTAAAGTCGAACATTAGCGAGCAAACAAATGCAATGAATTCCTTAGCAGAAGGACTTACAGAAAATGTGGAGGCCACAAAGAATGTAAGTAGTGGCATTAGCAGCCTTTGTGAAGCCGTTAAACAAATGACAGCTGCGTTAGTGGAAGGGAATGTTGAAAACAAGCGTCACCATGCTCAAATGGAAAGACTACGCCAAGAAGAAAACGAGCTAAAACTTAAGGAAATTGAAATAGAAGAACTTAAGATTTATTTAAAAAACCATTCTAAACGAAGTAGCTAATATGAACTTTAGTTACTGAAATGAATTAAATTTTAGTTTGCATTACATGTTTAAGTTAATAGTTTCAAGTGAATTGTTTTAAGTTAAAAATTTTCTGTAAATAATTTTATTTAAGTAGTCTTCTGTAAATAGTTTTCTGTAAATAATTTTCTGTAGATACATATTTTTCAATGTATATATTAATGTATGTTATGGTTTAAATATGAATCTGAACTTTATTTTAATAAATAGTGAATTGCATTTCATTTTATTGAAGTGAATATAAATATGAGCATTTTATTCAATAAGGCGCTTTAAACTTTCAGGAAATTGTATCACTTTAAGTATTCAAATTAATTTTTCATGAATTCGAGAATAGGCGCGTCGCGATATCCTCCCTTATCATTATAGCCTCGCCATCAAGAGTAGCTTCGTTTATTATTCCTTCAACAACAGGTTCATTATCCTCGTCCATAGGGCCTGCCTCAACTAACTCCTGCACTTTATAATGTCTACAGATATTATGTAATGCACAGCAAACATTTGTAATTTGCACCACCTTTTCAGGTTGATATTGTAGAGATCGACAAAGGCACCTAAATCGGCTTTTTAGAACCCCTATTGTTCTTTCTACAACATTACGCGCTGAAGAATGCTCCAGATTAAATATGTGCTGTGCTGTCCCAACATTTGGGTCTCTAAATGGGGTTAACAAAAAAGGTTGAAGTGCGTACCCAGCATCACCTAAAAGCCACAAGCCGCGTTCACCGTTATCGTAATTGCGTTTGAAGTAATCATGAGCTCTGCTGACACTCCATATCAAAGCATCATGACTTGAACCAGGACGACGAGCGTCAAGTGCTCTGATTACCATATTGTAATCACATATCTACAAAAATATATTCAAAAAATTGAGTTAATTCGAGCATAATTTTTGTCAATAAGTTAAATAAGCACTTACAATCATTGCATTGATGCTAAAATAACCTTTTCTGTTGTAAAATAGGCTGGAATCTTTATGCGGCTTGGTTATTTTAATATGCGTCCCGTCTACGCAACCAATGACTCCGGGTATACCAAAGTTTTGATGAAAATGCTGTTTCGATTTCGTTTTCTCGTCTTCGGTCATGCTTAAATTTATCCACCGGGAACATATATATTTTTCTAAAATCTTTAGCACGCGTGTAATTACTTTTGCAACCGTACTACGACCCATTGCAATATAACTATCTTTTCCCACAGCCTTTTGGAAGCCACCTTCCGCCAAAAACCTTAGTGTGGCCGCCAATTGCAGTTGCGCCGGAATGGATGTTTCTTTTAAATGCAGAACAACAACGTCCAATAACATGTTAAATGCACTTTTGTTGACCCGGTAGCTGGATACGAACCTATTTAAATTTTTTGTACAAAATTGCCACTAAGAGCGAACACCAAGTACTTACACCAATTCAGAGACATCTAAAGGATTGGAATGATCGCGCAGAATCCTTCTATTAAGGGTTTCTTCTGCAAGTCTCTCATTTTCTACTAAAATAGCCGCAAACGTAGTTAATGCACTCATTTTTCGTTTTTTTATCCAAAAATTTATTATTTGTTTTGGTTAAATTGACAGCTATCAGCTGTTAAGTTCATCTTTACTTATTCATCACCAGCTTTAGTTCATTTTCAGCGTGAATCAAAAACCGAGTTCTAAAATGAACTAAAAATTCGGTTTTCAGAACACCAAAATCAAATTCACTCGGTTTTAGATTCATTTTCATATTCACTTTCACTCGGATTCCAGAACCTGCCTGTATAACTTAAAAAAAGCGATTTAATTGAAGAAAAGAGCTATAAGAATTTTTTTCCTCTCGTATAAAATTTGTAAAACTGGGCTTTGCAACTTTTTACTATAAGATAACGATATGTTAAATATAAATATGGAAACAATGAATAATTTGTATTTCATTTCGAATTACCTGCACTTTCTGTGACTTTTTTAAATTAAGTAAGTAAATTTTTGGTTGAATTTATGTATTTTGAAAGGAACATAACTCTTTGTCAAAAGTCTACAAAACGCTTTCAAATAAAACATTTGCCTATTTCAAATTTTACGGCGCTTAAAGCAAGTGAAGAAAAGCTGCCATTTGGCCAGCCTTTATACGTTTTAGTATATTCCAAATAATTTTTGACACTTCTCGCAGCGAAGCAACCAAAGCAAGCCTGCATTGGGCCAGCTCCTTTAAATACACAAATTTTCTTTAATGCACAAAATATTCCATATTTTTTGAAATGGACATAATGGGCTTTGAAGGTGATAATATCTTAGATGTTGTATACGAAAAACATTAAGGAAACGTCCCTTTTGGGCACGAAAGTATTACGAAAAACGGAATATAAGCGGAGGTTTCGTGGTTCAGTTCCAACAACTAAAAATGAAGGATCCAGTACTTTTCCAACAATATTGCCGTATGGGTTCTCTGAGTTTGAAGAGTTATTGAAAGTCGTTGGCCCTTTAATTAAAAAACAGCATTTTATCCGTGAACGGATTCCTACAGAACTACGCTTAATTATTACCCTCAGGTAAGTAGGAAAGTGAGCTCTCTTATATCCAAGCTTTTGTTTTAAGATATTTAGCAACGGGAGAGTCTCAACGAAGCCTTGGAAGCTGCTACAAGTGTTCACCATCAGTAGTTTGCAAAATAATTGTCGAAACTGTTGAAAAACTATCGCAAGCACTTTACCCCGAGGTTTTTCCACATATTTCTATGGAAACATTTTTAGGCGTAGCACAGCAGTTCGAAGCCAAGTGGCAGTTTCCTAACTGTATTGGTGCACTTGACGGAAAGCATATTCAAATAAAGGCGGGCGAAGATATGTTGTTAAAACAAATATGTTATTAATCTTCAAATTAACACATACAGTATTGGACATATCTATAGCACCCCCCTTTCAAAGCGATATTGTTTGCCACTTATGTTTAATTATTTGTTTTTAAGAATTTTCAATTAAAATACAGTTCATTTTCCAACAAAACCCATATAAACCAATGTTTTAAACTTTTTAAAAGACCGCAAAAAAGTGCAACAAACTTTCCCTTAAATTTCAAACTTTTTTCTCAGAAGCTCTAGAATTTTTTTGAGTACACAGTTTTATAGCGCATTCAATTTTGTCCAATAATGTGCAAGTTTCAAGTCGCTAAAGATTACCGTTGATTTTTTAGAATTTTTTTGTCTCATTTGCTTCCATATAACGACTAAACACAATTTATTTTTATATGGCAGAAACCCGCAACATGATCGGCGAAAAAAATTCTAAAAAATCAACGGTAATTTTTAGCCACTTGAAACTTGCACATTATTAGACTAAAATTGAATGGAATTGAATAGAATTGAATGTGTATTCAAAAAAATTCTAGAGCTTCTGAGAAAAAAGTTTGAAATTTAAGGGAAAGTTTGTTGCACTTTTTTGCGGTCTTTTAAAAAGTTTTAAACTTGAGTTTATGTGAGTTTTGTGAGAGAATGAACTGTATTTGAATTGAAAATTCTTAAAAATAAATAAATAAACATGAGTGGCAAACAACATCACTTTGAAATGGGGGTGCTATTGTATTGACCAATACTGTATATATATATATAAACTAAGGCGCCACCAAATTGAGGAACCACTTTCTTTAATTATAAAAATTAAACTCATTGATTCTAATGGCTATAGCTGATGCAGGCTACAAATTTACAATGTGTGAGATTGGTGCGTCTGGTCGAGAAAGCGATATTCGGGCATTTGCAAGATGCAAGTTTGGACAAATGTTTTATCAGCGAAAATTTCCGTAAGCTCTATTTTTTCTTTAATATTGCTTATATATTTTAACATCCTTTTTTTTTTTAGAATCCCGCCACCCAGAGATATCTCTGATAATAGTAAAAATATGCCGTACGTTATAGTTGCTGATGACGCTTTTCCTTTGGAAGAAAACCTTATGAAGCCGTATTCCCACCGACAACTAACTGAAGAAGAACGCGTCTTTAATTACAGGTGCTTTATAGACACGTTGGACATATACCTACATACATACATACAACTGATTGCAAAATATGAGTAGTCCCCTTGCAAAGTGCCCCATGTAAAATTTTTTCGATTTTTCGTTTTTGGTGGTTAACGTACCAGTATTTAAAGTAGTTTCATGTCCACTACCAATACAGTGCAAAATCCTTATATGTTCTGAAAAAAATAGCATCAAATCTTAGCTACTCCAGCAAAAATCGCTATAATACTTAACGTGTGTAACACTTGTAAAAGTTACTGTTTCAAAACTCGCTATATTATTTTTTTATATAGTTTGTTTACACAACTGGCTTCGAATAAAAAATTGCAGCAACTATATTGATTAATGATTTGGTTAGTGAGTTAAATAGAAATGAAAGTAATTTACAAAACTCTCCAAACGAAACAGTCCAAATTCTGCTAAGCAAATTCGCGATTGTTACAAAAACTATTTTGTTAATGAGGGCTCTGTCTCTTGGCAATAATAAATTAATTTAATGTGCACTAACGTGACAAACTGTAACCAAGTGTTAATATTTCTTTTTTAAATAACCATTACCTGTAATTTAAGCGTATTCATTTTATAATAAAACACGGATATTTTTAGAAAAAAAACATATTCTCTTTTTTCTTTTTATTACAGTTTTTTATTGTTAAGACAATGAAAGAAGATACATATTTACATATTTCTGTAAGTACTGTAGTTCAAAATCCACAAAGTTTTAGTTACACATAAATACAATCGTTATCATAAATTTCCATACCCGAATTCATTTAAAAAAATTCAAAACGTTTTCCACGGTACATTGTTTTTTGGTATTTTTAATAAGACTATAGTTTATTCTATAACTAACACCATATAAATTAAACTTCCAAACTTCGCACAGAATTCACAATAATTTTTCAGATTCTAAAAACTTTTCACCACAATTCAAACTCTTTAAACAGAGGTTAAAAAAAATCAGGCCATGTAAAAGTTTCAGATAGTTAAAATATTCTGTTGATTTTAGAGAATTTGCTTTTGCGAGCGTGTTGTGTGCATTTTCTTCCATGCAAAAAAAAACTACCTGAAACTTGTATCTTATTGCACTAAAATTTAATGGGCTACAAAACTGCATACCTTGTTTTTTATAAGTCTGATAAAGTGTTTGAAATTTTGATGAAAAGCTTTTAGAATTTGAAAAATTATTGTAAATTCTGTCCATAGTATAAAATATTATTAATTTATGTTTTCATATTCGCTTAGTTCTTCGTCAATAACGGACATGATGCGCATTTTTATTTTTCTAAATAGGGGGCCTGGCAAGTTTTCAAGGTCTAATCCAACACTTTCACCAAACTTTTTGCTTGGCTCTTTTTAGTTTCCTGCTGTTCCACGTATCTCCTTTTGATATTAAGCTCTTCCTTTTTTAAAGCGATAATTTCTGATAAAAGAGATATGTTTACATATACATATTTTGTGGTAAAGGAGTTGCATAAAAATAAAAGAGGTTGAATGGTTGCTAACCTTTTTCGTGGCTCATACTTTTGTTTGAAGTGCTTGGCCGTTCCTCCTCATGGTCATCTTCCATCCCCTCAGTAATTGCAGTTTGCCAAAGGCTCGTGGATCTAAATAAGCATATTTACTGATAAAATAAGATCGCGTCCAGTAGGCCCTATTTTCTACTTGAACATAAAATTCAACTGGGAAATCAGGACTCACTTAACGTGATCAAATTTATATAAATATCTACATATCGTCGTTTAAAGTACAAAACCGCGTATCAACAAAATGCAAAACCGCGTATGTGAGGTTGCATAAATTATTTTCTAGAGTAAAAACACTCATATCACAAAATGGTTCTCTTTTTCATAAAGCAATCGCATTTCTGACAAGTATATTTCAGGACGAATGGATAAGGATTGAGCCAAAAGCTGGTGGGAGGAAATACAATTTTTGGCAGCAAATGCGGTTTTACAGAATGACGATACGCGGTTTTGTACTTTAAACGACGATATATGTATACGTAAATGGTAACTATAAATAACACTGCACAACAGCCATTTCGCAAGAACCAAGGTATTTTTTTGAAAGTGGACATCGCTCAGATCATAAGTTTGGATAGTCCAGCACGTTTAAGTTTTTTGTTATTTGCACCACCAATCCAAAAGAGTTTTATGGAAGAGTTGAAGACTTGCTGTACTATTAGTTTTTTGAGCAAAAATGGTCAGTGCGACGACACCTTTAAGAAATATACGTAATCATTATATTCTTCTCTTGCAAAAAAGGCTCTAAATTTGTTGTACTGTGTAATAATGCATGTATATGTACATACATACATACCTCCGAGTTTGTAACGAGTCATTCAGAAATGCCATTTGTGCCGAGTGCGGAAAATATTTTTTCTCTCCACTTGACCCACTCCTAGTACCGAATTCTTTCCACTTACTGTAACAATACCGTAAGGAACTCCATCGCTTTCCTATGGCTTTTATATTCTCTTGAGAAACCAGAAGACCTTAAAAAAAAAATAGATGGAATATGCCTATGTCGGTGTATACATTTATCTTTTACCAAGTTCTCCGAGAAATTCTTGCCAAGCCTTGCTTCGCAACGTTTGATTCCTGTAGGAATTTTGGCGGATGTCCCATAAACTAGGCCGAGAACGAACGGCTTCTATAAATAAGCCTAACGAAATTGGAAATATCAACACATGTATAGATATAAATACTTAGAAATAGTGTTAGCTTACCATTGTCTTGAAAATGTAAATTCTCTGCTGTATCCATCTGAAACGAACTTTGTATTATCACAAAACAAAATACTGATTTTTAATGAAAGATATACATATGTATGTTTTTGAACTAACGTTTGTTCTGCTAATGATGAAAATTTTTGTTTTGAAAAATTAAAAAAAAGCATTGACAATAATTTGAAAACTCAAAGCAAAGTAATGCCGTTTTTCTTTAATACGAAGGATTTTAACCAAAAATGGACGGATTTTAAGTAAAACAATATCTGGCACCGCTGCATTTTATAATAGTTGTTATAGGAAATGATATGATCACTCAATTTGCTATTACAACTTATAGCCGCACTATTTGAGTGTATCAACAATTCATACAGATTCATACCATGTAAATTCAGCATAACGATTTGCAGATCGTACTCGCTGTATTCGCTCGCGCTCAAAAATCTTTAATGTATGTACATACATAGCTGATCAGAGTGGTTTGGTTTGTTGTTGCCAACTTCAGCGCGGAGTTTTTGCTTTTACTCGTTGCATCATTCTCATTCCCATAAATATAAAATCTCTTTTATTCGTTAGTAAAAATTAAGTTTGCACCACTCGCGCGGGCTTTGAAAACCAACCACTATTTTCTTATTAGATTACATTTGCGTTCTGTACCACGAAATACATACATATATACATACATATGCACATGTATGTACACAGTGGTGAGGACAAACAAAAGGTTCTCGCAAAGTTTGGTATTTTGTGTATGTCAATATCTGCTTGAGGTATATTGCATATTTTCATTAATGTGGTTTATTCGCGTTACGACAAAACATGCGTACATATGTATATAAATCCTTTCTATTGCACTATTCGCATTCGCGCAAATATAGCATCCCTACCTTACAAATTTCAACCGGTTGCGCCGGCGATGAAACACAACCACTTGCGTTCTTATTAGATTGAATTTATCGCATTATTTATTTGTGTATGGCACCACATAAATACACACTTGTTTGCACAAACGAATCGTTCTCGCGTATTTCGGGATCGTATGTACCTACAAAAAAATTTAAAAATTATATCAAAGTGCTTTGCTTATTACGACTATTATAAGTCTGCACAAATTCAGTAGTTTTTCACTCTTTAGTATTCTTGCGTATGCATTTGTTTTCTTTTGTTCTAAGATCACATCCCTGCTCAGTGTTTACCTATTATACCTCCAAACCAAGGCACATAAATACAGGTAGAAGCCAAAATGACGTTGCTCTCATGAGAACCAAACCTTTAAACTTCAACTTGATTTTATTTTATTTCCTATATTTCGTTACGCTTTGAATGTCATATCGTTGCTTTTTTTTGAATGTTCGTTAATAACAAATTTTAATTTGCATTTGAATTTTTGTAGTGTTGTGCGGTTTATACTTAGTGTATGTGTTAAAAATGCAACACCTGAAGCGTTGGTTTTTATGTGGTGTTAAATATAAGGCAGATACCACTAATTTTTTAACGTGCCTCAATGTCCTTCGCGTAAGGAGCGTTGCGAAAGCAGCTGTGGGCAGAGCTGCAGTGAAATGCCTTGCTGTGCGTTAAACATTTTAAAGAAGTAGATTCCACAAATACACCGGGAGGTACAGGAAAGGCACGTTTGAAGCCAAGTGCTGTTCCTATGACCCTTATGCCGAAAAGTCCCTCCAACCACACTGCAACTCATAAAACAAAAACAGAAAACAACATACACGTTTTATCAAATTTTAACTAAAGAAAATAAATAAATAAGAATAAACTTCAAATATACTTAAAAACGTCAACCAGTGAAATGTATTTTTTTATTTTTCCTTACACACGCTCATGTTTATTTTTACTCTCCCGAAAACTTTGACTTTTGTAGGTTTGACGTCAAATTGGCTTCTACCTGTTTTTATTGTACCATGCTACCATACCGGTAGCCGGTGTTAGGACTCAATCATTTTAAATTCCCATTAGATTTGCATCTATTGCTATCTTTCCTCTTTGGGTACATTCGCCACACAACATATGTACGTACGAACACACAACTGACTGGGGTTTGCGAACATTTGAAGATTGCTGTGCAAGTGCTGTGCTAGCGTTAGATGCTCAATATATAAACATTAAGTATGTATACAAAGCAGTGGTTTAACTCCTCTCTCTAATTCTCGCGTATTCGCGCTATTGTCATATCCCTGTGTTTATGTAAAACTCGTCGCAAATTTGAATCGGTTCCACCGGCATTAAAACCCAATTACTTAAATTCTTTTAGATTTGCATTTGTTTAAATTTTTTCTACCATTGAACTAAATACCTTTAGTGCTTTATTCGCGTTTATTGCTAAATTGTACAAATCAAAATACAGTAATTTAGGTGCGTTAATTATCCGGTATATATACCCTAACAGTCGTACGTCTTTACGGCAAGTTGCGTTACGTGCATGAACACAGTGATGTTTTCAGCAATTAATATCCGGCTCCGGCTCTCAAAACTTGAGTCCAACCCAACGGCCGATCGAAATTTTAGGCAAAGCTGTGAATTATATATTTCATATCCCTATTACATACACGTATATTATATAAATAGCTTACTTCCCACGTATATATTTGTGGTTAATAAAAAATAAAGGTAAATTTTTTACGTTTTTTCGTACGCCTCGCTGCGTGCGTTACCGTAACAGATACTACGTATTATTTGCAATTAACAATGAGTTAATTTTTTATTTGCAAATAACTAAATCACGCAAATAAGTATTGATTAATGGTACTATTTGCAAACAAGCGCAAGACGCCGCCTTTCTTAGGTTTATTTTCTTTTTCGATGGTCATCTTATTGCCTTTTTATAATCAACACGTTGGCATTTTTAACTTTATTTTTTTTCGATGGCCATAGTATTGCCTTTTTATAATCAGGCAATAATAAAAAAGAATTTTTCACCATCGAATAAACAGTGAGTTAGGTATTTGCGAATTATTTTTATTTGCAAATAGCTTACGTATAAACGTAGTAATACAAGTTCTTTAAAGGATTAAGCAAATAATTCCCTGTCACGGTACGGATAGCAATGAAAGTCGACATTTATTTAGAATAAAACAAATTTCTCTCCTGAATGGTTTGCGAACTGTAAGCCAAACAGTTATCAACTTCTATCCCGTGTTAACGGTCTAATTAAGAATTCTGAAGAACGCTGTCTGCGTTAAACCACTTTTGATAAACTATTGCCATTCATTTTCCCAGACGGCGAAGGTTCGAATAATTTTTTTATCTCTCTCTCAAGGTTGTTAGGTACGTTTGCCATTCACCTTAACAGGCGTCGAAGGTGCGATAACTTAGCGACATATTGCATCTGTTTTCCCGAAAGGTCTGCCTTACTGATGAAAAACATGTTCCATCCGACTTCAAAGAAGAAGCGGGTAAAAAATTCCAACTATGTACTGATAGTTTTTATATTTGCAAATCCCATATTCTCGACCAGCTTAAAATGTTTCAAGGTAACCCAAGTCACCAAACTAGCACCTCGCGTAACTGCTGCTTTCTTCGATAATCCTGTTCCATGCATCAAAGTCCCACCCTGTGATACCCAGATCTTTTATGGTAGCTATGAGGACTGGCCATCGTTTCGTGGTGTGTTCACGGCCGCATACCTCAATCAACCCAAGCTCACCCCTGCTCAAAAATTGTATCACTTACGGAATAAGACTCACGGAAAGGCTGGTAGCATTGTCAAGCATTACAAATTATGCGATGAAAACTTTTCCCTAGCTTGGGATGCTTTAAGAGCTCGTTTTGAGAACAGGCGCATTTTAATCGACAAGCAACTTAAACTGCTATTTAACCTTAACTCAGCTAGTTCGGAAACAGCGAAGCAATCCAGAAAATTCAAAATACAATCAATGATTGCCTCTCGTGCCTTAAATCCCAAGGGGTTTCCGTGAATGACTGGGACCCTATACTTATATATTTATGCTCGACGAAGCTACCTGAGGAGACTCTAGCATTGTGGGTACAGTCCCCCAAATCCAGGGAAGACCTGCCTAACTGGGCCCAAATGGTTGAGTTCCTTACCAGTCGGTATGAAGTAGTTGAACGTTTGCACAGCTATAAAACCACAAAGGCACGAAGTTCTCTCCCCCAAAAAACATCAGCGAAGGTTCAGTCTTACCATTCACAGGAAAAGTTAGTAGCCAAATGCAAATTATGCAGTAACAACCATCCCGTGTTTCGAAAGCTCTCTGCTCACGAACGCAACAAGTTCGTCGAACAAAATAATTACTGTTCCAACTGTTTGGCCTACAACCACATTCTCAACAATTGCCAAAGCACGTTTCGATGTCTTCACTGTAAAAAGGCTCATCACACAATGTTGCATATCAAACCAATTAGTAAACCTGAAGCTAACGCACCGGTTAAGAAACCAACGACTCAACAATCCCTGAATTTCACATCTCTGCCGCATACCCAATCTCTCGAACCTTCCTCCAGTCACACAACACATCCCATTTTTAATATAACTGAAGGCACTTACGAGGACTCTCCCACATCCTCGGCTGAAAGTTATCCCCCCGTTCAAGCGAATTTTTCGACGAACAATGAGAAGACGCTTCTTCCCATAGCCCAAGTGCATATCAAGCACATGGGCACTCTCTTTACCGTAAGAGCTTTAATAGACCAAGGCTCCCAAAAATCATTCGTGTCAGAAAAGTCTCAATGACGTCTGCAGCTTCCTACCTATCGAGAAAATTTCTCAATCACCGGAATGGGCGGGACTATCGTTGAAAATGCCAACGGAGTTTGCCAACTTACCCTATTCTACAAATGTTGCAACATTAGCATAAACACTAAGACCATTGTCCTTAAAAAAACACCAGCTTTCTACCATCATTCCAACTTCATAAACCAAATCTCTCAGAAATTAAGGACCTAGATTTTGAGGATACCTATTTCTATACCCCCGGTCCAATTGACCTAGTTATAGGTAGTGACCTGATACCACAAATGATAGCTCAAAATACGATTTTTGGTTGGTATTTAAGTGCGCCATTGAAATCAATTAAGTGCTCCAGTTTTTACATTCATGTTGTTGAAGACTCAAACGAAAATCTCAACTCTCAACTTAAACTTTTCTGGAAACCGAAGAAATAACTGAATCCCATCCACCTTCCGATGCTGATGCATTTTGCGAAAAATTTTATCAAGACACCACCTATCGGCAAAATGATGGACGATATGTACTTAGTCAGATTGCCATTTAAATGCGAGTTTCCTGCTAACCTCACTCTCGGTCCATCTCGTTCGCAAGCAATAAATCAAACACACGCTTAATAAAAACCCCGATTTTAAAGAAGAATATAATCGAGTATTAGAAGAGTATCTATCCCTAGATCATATGAAACCAATCACTCCCTATGAAATCCATAAAGATGGCAAATATTTCTCATATCATCTCCCTCATCATTCAGTTGTTAAACCCGGTAGTAAATCCACCAAAGTTCGTGTGGTATTTAACGCCTCTAAACCGTCAGCGTCAGGCACTTCCCTTAAAGACATTCTCCATACCGGCCCCACCTTGCAATCTGATCTCATGTTTGTCATTTTGAATTGGCGATTGTACAAATATGTCTTCAACGGGACATACAAAAGATGTACCGCCAAATCCTTCTACACGAAGATGATCAACAGTATCAAAGAATTCTCTTTCATAGAAACCACGAGACTAAACTCACGGACTTTGCCCTTAAAACCGTCACCTTTGGAGTTAATTGCGCTCCATATCTAGCCATTCCAACTCTGCACCAGTTGGCAAACGATTCAAAAACTTCTTATCCTCTAGCCCAAAGAATCCTGACAAAGAAAACGTATGTCGATGATATACTGTCAGGCGGGCACGATATCCCCTCTTGTATAAATGCTCAGACTCAATTAATTCAAGGCTTACTCTCAACTGGTTTCCCCTTGCAGAAAATTACTGCTAATCACACTGAAATACTCAGTCATATACCAGCTGAAGACTTGCTTGACTCGGATTTCCTAAAATTTGATTGCTCTAGTTCTACTAAAACGCTTAGTATCCGATGGCATGCCTTAAACGACTCTTTTTGATACTCTATCGCTACAAAGCGGCAAATTTTATCATCGGTTTCGAAACTTTTTGACCCCGCAGGGTGGCTATCGCCTATTATTATTCAGGCAAAAATACTCTTGCAACAAATATGGTTACAAGACACTGAGTGGGACGAATGTGTAAAACCTTCCTCTCTTCAAAAGTGGAACCAATTCAT